GGGGGGGGGGGGGGGTCTATTGAAATGCTATATAACGTTACAAAAGGGAATGGGGTAGGTGAAAAGAATCCTATATGTGTGCTCTATAGGCCAAATATGTGCACCGCCACTTAATGAAACGACTTTTTATCAATACATTTTTGTTTTTGTAATGGATACACAAAACATTGGACTGTGTGGGTGGACTGTGTGGGTGGACTGTGTGGGTGGACTGTGTGGGTGGACTGTGTGGGTGGACTGTGTGGGTGGACTGTGTGGGTGGACTGTGTGGGTGGACTGTGTGGGTGGACTGTGCCGGTGTGAAAAAGGAACTGTTTGTATTTATTTTTTTGTTTGGGGAGCGCGGCTGGAGGTGACAGGGGAGAGAAATAAGACGTAACACAGTCAGGGGTTTTAGTGACTTCATTTGATGAAATGGTGGGCTGGTGGGGAGAGGACGAATAGAGTGACGTCATTAGTGAACGAGTTAACATAAACGACTTATACAATAGTGAACTAAATAAGCTCAATTAAGGTTATTCGTCCTACACAAGTTATAGTTGGGTTTTTTTTAAACATGGTTATCTTTAACACTATTGATTCCAATGCAACTTCTTTATAGTTTATTCTGACTAATATTTTTAGCAAGCCCAATTTAAAATATCCAAGTTCATAAAAATTCTTATAAATCATGTTCTAATTTGTTTATTAAAAAGTTTTAAATAATTAAAATTAAAAAAAAAAAAAAAAAAAAAAAATATTCACATCGTCTCTAATAAGACAGTGCACAATCAAATGTTAAGAAATCAAACGCAAATCTATAAATTATTGGTTAACCAGTTAGCAGCTCCTTTTAAAACGTCAGGTAGAGTACACACACAGAGATGACACCAAATATTCAAACACTATTCGCCATGTCCATGTCCGTTCTGGTATGGGAACTCTGCTATTTACACGTTTTGTAATCGGCTCATTTCGGAGCACGCATTAAAAAAATTGAACCGCCGGACTAACTACTGACATGATCTGAGCCATTACCAGACTGAACTGCTATCGAGTGGCTTTGAACGTGTGGGCCACCGAGGAATCAACCCCTCATCTCTTACTACAGGACCGGATCGAACTAAACACCCAAGACCAAGGGAGCTGACACAAATAGCAACTTTGAGAACACCTCTGAATGTACTTATTCTTTAAATGTCTGAGTGAAACAATGCAAATGATGAGAGCGGGGAATGATCAAGAGTCATTAGCTTGGCGAGCAGTCGGAGCCCGTGTCAATGACGCGTCACGAAAACTCCAGGGTCGTCATCGGGGAGGGGGGGGGAAGGCTGTATGCAGGCCCGGCTCAAGGCGGGTACGATGTGTGATCATCACACAGGCGCCAAGGCGCTTAAACCGCAAAATTTGTTAATATCAAACAACAACAAAATTTCTGAACTCTTCCCATAATTTCCCAGAGGGCGACAATTGCCTATTCCCCCCCCCCAACCTAAAAATGTCTAGCGCCAGGCCTGGGTGTATGACCAAAGTTATCCAAGACCGCCAGTGACCAAATGGTCGCGACCGTTATTTAAAATATGGTTTACGTGATTTTAAGGGGAAAAAATACAATAAAGATTTCCTGTGAGAATAAACAAAGTCAAAAACTTGAATCGGGGAAAATTCCGGAGGGGATCAACCAATGTTCCCTCTAAGGTTTGATGGTTCGTGTGCAAAATCATACAGTTGTGTGCAAAATCATACAGTTGTGTGCAAAGTTTTACAGGATCAGATTTTTTGTCTGCAAAATTGTACAGCCCACAAACACAAAACATACACTTACATGGAAATTTGCTGCGCGGATACTCAAAACTGCTGCTCCGCGCAGCTTAAAGGGAACATTGGGATTGGCCTAATTTGAATTGAAACAACCGGATATACTTGACTATATATAGTGCACGGGAGGCCCGTGATTTTAAAAAAATTGTTGGTTCATGGCCAGAATATTCTCTAGTCCTTATGCCTGTCGACGGTCCTGGACACTCATCCCAATCTGTCAATGGCCCTATCTACCTGCCCCCCGGCCTATAGACGCCTTTGGACACCCCTCCCCAATCTGAAACTTCTTTGTAGTGAATAGATAAGATGGTAGTAAAGGGGATAACTCCAATCATACACATGACTTTTTTTTTTTTTTTTTTTTTTTAAATTTTTTTTTTTTTTTTTTTTTTAAAGTTTCTTTTTCTAAATACTAAGTGAAGCTGAGCAAATGTTCTTCTTACCTACGGATATTTTCAAGGGATCAAGGTCGATGTTTTTTTTCCAAGACTCACAGCATCTCGCGATCTCTGAACCTGTCAAAGATTCACAAACAGAACGAGAAGAAACAGAATATGAACAACATGCCTTCTTACTCTCTAACAAATTTTCGTTGGCAAAAATACGTTCTTAGGTAATGTCGATTACTTCAACATGTTTCTTATTTCAGCTTTATTATTTGCTCGATTCGAAACTATTCCTCTTTTTTTTTTTCTTTTTTTTTTTTTTTTTTTTTTTTTTTTTTGTGCAGTTACATCTAATAATAATAATAATAATAATAAAGTTTATTTGAAAAAACACGCTTCATCCCCAAAAGCTCGAAGCGCGGTACAAAGTCAACCATAACAAAAAGAGAAATAAAAACAATCTAAAATTTACCACATTTAAAAACAGACGCAACAATATAAAACTACATACATTGCAGTGTGATTCGTATCAATATTTTTGCTATCAGGGCCGGCTCAAGGCGGGTACCGTGCGTGATCATCACACAGGAGCCAAGACGCCGAAGGCGGCAAAATTAAATTTGAAATGTTCCACAGTGTGTTTTCTGACCTCTTCACGTAAATTTTACAGAGGGCGGCAATTGCCTATTTTCACCCAACATAAAAATGTCTGGCACCGGCGCCCTGTTTGTTATTATCATAATCATAGCGTTTTCCTGTTTCATTTAAAGACTAATGATTATTTTTTTTTATTATAACAGCACAATTTCCATCGACAAGAACAGGAAATTGATGTAAGACGTCAAGTTGGGAAGTAATGGTATTGGAGGTAAGAAGTCAAGTTAGGAAGTATTGGGAGGTATTGTAAGGGTCGTAAGAAGTCAAGTTAAGAGGTAATGTTAATGGGTGTAAGCGGTCAAGTTGGGAAGTAAAGTTATGGAAGTAAGAAGTCAAGTTTGGAAGTAATGGTAATGAGTGTAAGAAGTCCCCCCCCCCAAAAAAAAAAGGGGGGGGTATGTAAGAAGTCAAGTTGGGAAGACAGAATGGAAGAGGTTGGAAATGAAAGTCAATGACTGAGCTCCGCTTGGTCAGCTCAAAACATATGAAGTACAGACAAGTATTGCCACGGATAAAGTATGGAGACTAGTTGCCTTGATCAGGAACGGAATTAGGAAGTTCTAGAAAGGATTGGAACACGGAGCCTGAAAGTGGGAGTTTTTAAACAGATTGCGATTTGCAGGACACACACTTCGTCTGTCACAGCAACGAATAGCCAGTACCACCATACCACTGGCGTAGGAAGGGTGGGGGAGAGGGGGTGTGAGTTGGTCCGTCCTGGGGCCGCACTTTTCGTCTATATAATAAGGGGCGCCATTTTCGGCCAACTGTAGAGCGGGGGGGGGGTTCAGCCCCGGGTGGCACTAGTCCTCGCCACTCCATTCCATCCTACATGAGATGCCGTCCGGGGGGGGGGGG